GGAATTGTCCTAACTTTTCCCCCTTATACGGCGCCCCTGACACCACTGGTATGGCTGCTTCAATTTAACCCAAAGAGAAGTTGTTGTCCACTGACTACACTTTGTGTTAAGAGTATGCTTCCATTTTCACTATTAAGCTGTTTCAGTGGTCTCTTTCAAGAGAACTGACTACACTCTTGAAGGACTCATCACTCTTGTGATATGTGAAATATATCATCCAATGTGGCCCATATCTTAGGTGAATATTAAAAACAAATCTGGGTGACGACAGACCAAATAGCTGTGTTTCTCTCAGAAGAGTAAGATGAACGTAGTGGGGTTGTGTGCTCTAAGAGGGTTGTGTGCTCTAAGAGGATTCCTTCAGGCAGAAAGGAGGTTGTACCGGAGGAGGCTAGTCAGGAGAGGAGAAACTGCCAGTTTAGAGAGGGTTCGTTTACAGAGTCTCTCAGGCATTTGGGGTGAAACCCACAAAATTTGATGTGGGAATGGGGGGGCAACCAGTGTCTATTCTGCAGCCCTTTATCTGAGATAAGAACTGGACTACCCCTTAAGACTGACCAGGAAGTCCATCATTGTTCCAAGGAGGTCTCTGGGACACTAGTCAGGTAGCAGATTGTGGAAGACCGGTCAGGGCAAGGACTAAGGCAGACCTACATGGTGCTCTGGTGACTTAAGGGCCTGCTTACAAATAAACAAGCAAGGTAAGTGCAAGCAGAATAGGAGAGCCTGGAGTATGGTTCTGTCCATAGCTGGCCCGGCAAGCCTTAGAGCATGGAATTCATGATCCCTGAGCCCCTGGGTCTTTTCAAGTACGATCCTTGATAGGATTCAGTTTGCTCATGGTCCACCTATGACCTGTGATCCATGTAGATCTTTGTGATCTTTGGAATACCAGGTATTGTTCTCTGTATCAGTCTCTACAAAGACAGAGTGGAAATTTAAAATTACTTAGACAACAGACTACTGTGTGCATGGTCAGAGGACCAGTGCCAGGCTCATCTATGTCCTGGAGAAGGTGGGATCTTTTTCAGAGAACACAGTTCTGGACCTAATTGTGGATCCCAAACTGTGCTATGTCACTTTGGAATTGTCTCTCACAATTAACACTGGGCTTCGAGGTCACAGTAGGCTGTGTCTCTTTCTCCAATACTGTGCCTGTCACTTATTATCCCACGCACAGGGCATGGTGCTACTTCCTTTTCTCAAGAGACTATTGTTTTGGACCTGGGCCCAGAAAGGACAAAACTGTTAACCATAGCAATACCGCAGAAAGTGGTAGAGACATTTCCTATTGATGACCTCCATCTACGCACATAGTTGGAGAATTTTTCAGGCATGGTGCATGGAACCCATGTCATCCTACAGTTCGTGCAAAGGCTCTTACTTTTGTGGGAGTGGCAGTGGTGGTTGTGTCTGAAGGGAACTCCAAACTGGTTTGCCAATTCCTTAAGGGAATCCATCACAAGTTCCACCCTGGTATTAAGTTGATTCTTAGGGTGCTGAAGTAGGCCCTATTCAAGCTGCTGTTGGTGGGCCTCTCGTGGCTGCAAATCAAGACTGCCCTATCAGTGGCACTGGCTTCTGCCAAAAGGGTAAGGGAGATACAGGCTCTCTCTGAAATATGTGTACATCTGCCTAAGATGTGGCCCGCTTCTACCAAGCCAATGTGACCTCGCAAAAAATATAAAAGGCCCCTTCTTCAGCCAGTGTTTGGTTTGTCCGTTCTGGGCTACTGTAGAAACATGGTGATTCAACTAGGCGGACTCCATGGAAGGCACAAAGGCGTCTGTAGATAAAAACAGCTCGTTCTAATGTAACTAAAACAATGGCCCCCTTTTCTGGTGATTATACACTAATGAAAAACATACCTATGAATAATTATAATTCCATTTCTGCCAATAGATCCTCCTAATGTTTGCTACACACTGGACCTTTAAAGGTTAACCATATGAGATTTAAAGCATTAATATATTTAAATATATATGGACAATTTCTTACGGAAGATACAGTGGAGAACTGGCATCCTAAGCAGAAGAATGTGTCACACTCCCTCTGTGGTGTTATCCCAGCCTGTCCAGGTCTGGCCACACATGCTTGTTAGTGCATGTGAGTCCTGCTGTGTACAACTGAAAAGGGCGACTGAAACTGCTGTTTTACTTAACTATGTCGGTGAATTAAGGATTTATTTCAATCAAAGCAGAGTTGGTGATAGTTGGAACAGTGAAAAGACAAACAACAAACAACAAAGGTTAGGTTTTGGTGGGTTTATGTTTCTGTCCATCTTGAATGAAGTTACAATGTTACAATGACATGTAAGGTAAAGCTGCCATTTTTGTCTATGAAATCTGGTAGAGAGCAATAGTGATTTTACAAATGTTTGAACAAAAGCTCTATCTCTGTAGAGTTCCTTTCCTTTCCTAATGTTTTCAGACATGAGCCAGTCATTGGCAAAAACAAGCAATTTTAGAAGATGTATTTTGACCAGCGCCATTTGTCTCCAAGGATTAGTTATTGTTACATGGCAGTAATACCAGCTATTTTCTTATCTAACTCTGCATATTAAGCCAGAATTGCTGATTATTGGAAATACAGTGGAAAGACTTACAATTTTGGTGAGTTTAAAAAGTGTTTTATGATTATTTGCTAGATGAAATTACATTTTTTTTTTTTAAATTAGTCTTGTCAACCGCTGGTCTAGTGCTATATATAACCTTTAAACAGTAATGTGATTGCGTAATATGATTGTTAGCTAGATGTCAAGCGGACGCTATTGTTGAAGATTTCTTGGGTGGTTCCAGATAAGGAACAACTGGTCAGCTGGTGAGCTGGTTAATGCATTTTCTCATCTCTTTCATTTAGGGCCTACATATGAAATATGGAACTGGATAGAGAGTGCTCTAACTTCACTCTTCACTCAGAGAATCATGGTTACATATGTAACCTTGTACCTGCAGGTGAGTGTGTATATCTCAGCATTCAAGGAGGGTAAAATCTTCTTTTTTAGCCCAGGCCTTGGTCTTGGCTTCTTCTGTTTATAATCATAGCCTAAAAAGACAAGACACTGCGCTGCTTTATCTGAGGGACTGTATTAATTTATCATTGACAAGAGGCATGAAAAAATAATCCCAAAGCCAAACTATTATTCACTATTGACTATTGATGTTTACTAGTCTAGTCAACATCCATTTTTAAATTAAGACATATGTTGGCGTGACAAATTAATTCACCTAATGTCTACCAATGCAGCATTCATCTCAAATATTTCTTCTTAATTTGGTTCCACAGATTGACCTCTTGACTCCTATGCTTAAACCACAATTTTCATTTCATGGTACAGGAAACAATCGTTGACAATCTGATGTTGTACATTGTCAGAAACTTACCTGGTCCTTCAAAAATGCCAATCCTCTTTCTGTGTGCATACGCTCGAAGGTGACCAGGAAGCGTAGGGAAGTCGCTGTTACACTGAGTACAAATCTTATTTGAATCACATTTCCCTGAAAGACAGAACATTGAAGAAACAAAATCAAACTCGAACAGAATAAGACAAATGGGATCAAGACATTTAGGTTGAAATTATGGGATTATATTTTCCATTTGCTTTATCTATAATGGAACATTTGATTGGATTAATTAATTTTAATACATCTTAGCTGATGCTTCTGTCTCAAATCAAGTTTTAGGATCCTCAGATGTTAGATACTCTAGTTTATAAGGAGAAAACCATTGTAGGATAGTGTTTGAGTTCATGCTGTAATTTTATTATCAAGCAAAACTGTTACTCCCAGTGTGCTCTAAAGTGTCTTCTTCCACCTGGTTTCAGTCTAAGCATCTGATTTGCACTTTCCTGTTTGGAAAGTGTTACTGGTGAAGTTTAACACAATTGTGTGTCTTCAGGGGGACTATTTTCACATACACCACCTCATGAGAGTCACAGAGGATTCATAAACTACACAAAAAAAATCACAGATCTGTTAGTCCTATGACAGAAAACTGGCAATGACACTGCTGCGCACCATTGCCTGTTAACAAATATTCAAAAGATCTTCCAAAATTAAAAACAATGTGATTTTACTTTTAACAAAGTAAACACAGTATTCCAGTGATACAAAAATGTCAACAGAAAGAATATAGGCCTAAATAGTAATGAAAAATTGTTAGACTAGTTTGTGAGTTGTCTTGGAAATAGAACTCAACAAAGAGACATTTGACTTGAAATCTTTACCAACATCTTTTTCAGTACCTGACTAAAACTTGATTTGGACAGACATTAAACAAAATTGTGTAAACAAGGATGAGGCTTCCAACTAAACATCAAGAGGATCTCATGATTTTTTAATATGAACTTCAAAAGCATTTTGGCAAAATTCAATCTACTGTATGTGTTTTTTCTCCCACAAATCAAATGATTGTGAACTATTCCCAAACTGTTTAACTGGCTTCTACCTTCAGTATACAGTTATCTATAAAGAGATACTGAAAATGTATTATAAAATATTGATGAAAATCAGAGGAATGAATGTTGAATGTTAGTGTCAAACAAAGCTAAAAATGCCTCCCACTGTTAATAAGGGGAAAATATATGTAGTTTGACTATACCTACACTTCATTTTGCATTGCCAAATTTTTCATGAGAGGGAGGAGATGTGGAGCGGGAATGTGATATACAAACATGGTGTAATTGGTACAATGTATTGTATTCCTATGCCAAGTAGGTCGCTATTACTCAACTAAAAATTAATTGAAAAAAAATGAGAGAGAGAGAGAGAAAGTGACTATAACCAAACCCAAAATCATTTAAGGCATGTGGGTCTGCAACCAATAACATGCTATAACTTGATAGCTTGTACAAATATTTTGTGAACCTCCCAAACATTATCCATTAATAACAATAAAGAAGCCAGTGCAAAATAGATGTTTTTCACTTTTGAATAGGAATAACACATGGTAATAATTTACTTTAAAGACAAAGGATGAAGGGTATTGTTTTAAAAGGCTTCTTTTGTCTTAAAGGTAGTTATGCTAAACATTCACAAATTAGTTATACTTTACATAAATGCTGACCATTTCCCATGTTTTTAAGAATTATTGTGCTACTGTACCCACTCCTGTCAAAATCTACTTGCAGAGAAACTGTCCAAAGATGGTTTAGTTATGTAAGTTACTGTATGTGTATTGTATCGTCTATAGTGTTATTATTGGGCTAAAACATGCTAAACCACCCACACGACCCTTTAGGAAACTGTTCAAACATGAAGTTGTTATCAAGCCTAGTGCATGCAACTCCATACCATGTGTCCAGTTTGCTTCCACACTGGTCATCTGTGTCTCCTCCATGTAATCTTTGGTCAAATCACAGAGCTTCCTGTTAGCACAGGCTTCCTGGTCACTTCTTGTTGTAACCTCCATACTGTCCTGTCTCATCTTGAGCAGTTCAACTAAAGTGCTTGAGGAGGCCTCGGCGTCTCTTTGAGCTTCTACCGGAAACTTCTTGCTTTCTGAGAAGGCCTCTGCCTCCTGTTTTGGTACAAAGCTGTCCGATATGGGATGTGGATTCCTCATCTCATACTGGATTTTCACTGGGATGCCCGTGCGCATCAGGAACAGGCCATTGCTGCTGAATAACTTCTGAGAGACAAAGGATCGTGAGGGGAATTGGCCCTTGTTGAGGACCTGGAGGATATTCCGATGTTCCTTTTTGTCCTGTAGCATTTCATTTAAGATGCACAGCGGGGACTTGCTGGTACTGGTAACACTTCTACCAATTCGTTTCAGATGTCCCCTCACATGATTGGAGAGGCCGGTCTTAGTATCAAACCAACCCCAGCACAGGGGACATGTGTGCTCTCCTTGGGTTTCTGGCTTAACAGCTGTAATATCAGATAAAGTTTGTCATTAAAACTGAAATGAAAAAACAAAAACAATAAGGTAATATCTGGATTGTTTTATAATGCACAAGCCTTTATATATAGCATCTGTATCAACACTGCAGCTGTGAATTTATTGTAGTTATATCAATATTTCTATCACAAAATCAAACGACAATGTGAAAACAATGTGACGATGTGAAGGGTCGCACATAGTGATGCACCGACAGAATTATCACCTGAAGCTCCCCCAACTCTACAGAGCTTTATAACTATAGCAGTCTGCCCTGCAATTTAACTGTTTTGGTTCACTCTTGCTGCTTTATTAGTGTCATTTCTGGCCACAAAATGAAGCTGTGTTGACTAAAAAAGCTCTAAAACTTGACTATATACTACCTGCTCAGCAGCAAGCAGACACAGATAGCGACTAGCTGGTGAACATACAAACAGACATTTCTCTCAGGAGTTCTTAGACATAGAAAGACAGAGCTATAAGTTGTCAGATGTGTAAAAAAGCAACTTTGCTAACAAGTTTGCCACATCCACATAAAGGTGACAATATGTCACTGTTGTGTTTATGGCTTGTTTCTGCTGCCAGAAAAGGGGCTGAATAGGTTTTACTATTATGCATTAGTAAAGATTGTGGTTATGACAAATAGTTAGGGTTAGGCAATAAAAACACTTGCATTAAGCATGGGGAACATTGTGGTTACACTAAATAACAAGACCAAAAGTCTACAACACCCTAACAGCAGAGGCTGAACTTTGAGCAAAATGATAATGTCACATGTAAATTCACTCATAATGAGAATACTAACACACTGATAAGCAGGTAGAATGTTTACCATATTAGTTTAACCTGTTAGCATGCTAACACTGGCCAATTAGCCCTAAACATGAAGTACAGCTGAGGCTGATGGGAATGTTTTTAGTTCTTTTCTTTAGATATTTAGTCACAACCTAAATTCCTGTTAAGAACATAGATGTCTGTACCATATGTCATGGGAATCCATACAAAAGTTATCTGGAGATTTTATTTAAAAACTGTTAACCTCATGGTGGCGCTGGAGGAAAAGTCAAGGAGCTAACCAAAGTCAAAAGGATTTATCCTCTGGACACATGAATATATGTAACCAAATTCCATGGCAATCAATCCCATAGTTGTGGAGATATTTCAGTCTGGACCAAAGTTGAGGATCAACTGACTGACTGACTGGCATTGTCATCCCTAGAGCCAAATGCAGGTCTGTGACGGCTTTGCAAACTGAATCAATTTGTGCCTGTTTGCCCATCCTCTAGTAATTTAGTATGTTTGTGAATATAGTATATATATATATATATATATATAGTAAGTGAATACTACATAATTTAAAAACACAGTAGATACCTCCTTTATTAAAAACATTTTGTGTTGAGTTGTTAGTGTTAAACTGCCTTCGATATTACTTGAACTAATACTCATACCTTTTCTCATTTTCCGCATGCTACAGGGGATCCTTCTGCGGATTCGTGGCTGATGGTCCCGCAAAGCCACTTGTTCTGGTGAAACCATGTGCCGGGCATTGTAGCTCAAGCCAACACGGTGGAGGTGCCCACGCACGTGATTGGACAGACCGACTCCAGACTCAAACATGGCAGGGCAGTATGGACAGGGTTTGTGTTCTACCCCTGGTGTGGGGAAAACATCAAAGCTGTCACTTAAAGACGTACAAGGCGACTCTGGGGAATCATCACACACTGTAGTTTCAATATACTCCTCCTTGATGACAAGTTGCTCTATGTCACTACAGTCTTCATCTCCATCATCTTCATTCTCAAGTACATGAGGGCTTTGGACTTTGGCTGACAACCTCTGCCTCTTTCTGAAATACTTCCGAGCATACGGGTTCTTTTCATTTTCGCTGCTTTCCAAGAAGCTGCCTGTAGCTCCGCTGGTGTCATCACTGAAGTTATTGCTGCCCTCACAGCCTTTCTCTAACTCCCTATCTGCAGACTTGAGCCTCTGGCTAAGCCTTGGTGATATATTACCATGCATATTGTCAATAGTGTTATGCAAGGGTGTTGACATTTTTCTCATTGATGGAGATTTTTGCTTTGCTTGTGCATGTAAACTCCCGCTTGCCCGTTCGTTCTTGCTACCCTGACAGAACATCTTGTCTAATTTAAGATTTCTGGCTGATAGTAAAAAATCAGCGGTTGCAGGACAGTTTGCCTGCTTTGAGCTGCCAAAAGCCTTGCAGTCATTGTTTTCAACGTCTTCTTCCTCACAGGTGAGATCAGTTGCCGCATGTAATTTTTCGGCTGGTTGTAGGAGTAATTTTCCATGCCTGTCGACTCTCCACAAAGACGGTGAGAACATGTTTTTGGTGCAGCCAACATGGCACCTTAACTGAGGAGAATTTACAGTTTTGTCAGTGGACTCTTGAATATAAAGGTCCCCTTTTTTACTGGAACAGTGGGGGAAATGGGCCATTTGTCCAAAAGTCGACTTAGCTGACAGATTTGGTATAGACCGGGGCTGGTCAGCAACCTTTTTATAATTACCATAGTGTGATCGCTGATGCTCCAGCTCAGAATGTCTTTCGAGTACTTCTTTGTCTCTACTAGTAAAAAAAACCATTTTATGCTGAACACGGCCCACTTCCTCTGCCTCATTAGCATGAGTCCTTTTCCTATATTGAGGCTGGTGTGTGCTGAGGTGTGCGACATGTAAGTGTGCTTCAAGTGCCTGTTGTGTCAGTGTAATGTAGTTACACTCCTCACAGAAGTAGTAGTGCTTTAGATTATCATGTGTTTTGGCGTGCTGGACACGGATTTTAGGGCAATTGCAACCAAATACACACTGAGGGCACTGCCTGTCTTCGAATTCTGTATTTTTGAGACCTTTGATTTCCTCCATAAGTTTTTCCAGCCTGTCTTGGTGAATAATGATGTGGCTCATGAGGGAGTTGCTATCACAGAACAAACGCCCACACTCCCTGCATATAAAGGGCTGTGAAACATTCTCACTGTTCACCTGATTATGCTTGCCTAAATGATACATCATATGTCTATGGAAATGTACTTTTTCCTTGAAATTAACATTGCATCTTGTGCATGGAAAGAAAACTGTATCTTGTTCTGTCTTCAACTGTTCCACTTTTGGACTAAAATTGTCTTCATCTTCAGGGTCATTTTCCTCATTACAGCCTTCCTGCGCTGTGCTATAAATATAGTGCTCAGAGTCTGAAGCTGTGCTCCTAGCAAGATCTTTGAATGGCACAACAGAATATTTAATATCAGATTGTGTACCCAAATAATCATCTTTGTTGGCAATGTCAACATTTTCAACATCATTACCAGTGAAGAAACAGAAAGGTCTGTGTGTGTGATTTAAGCTGTTGTTAACCTTTTCTAGAGAACCTGACATACTTTTTACATGTGTATTGTGCTTCATGTCTCTTTGGTGCATCACACTGGTCTCCAGCCTTCTGTCATTGTGCAAGGAGCGCTTTCTTGCTGAATCCCATCTGATTACTTCAGCATCATCATAATCATCTGAGGAGCTTTCTGACCATTCTACGTCCCGTCGAGTTCTTGTTTTCATTGTCTGTTCTGTCAAAGGTTGGCTAATGTGCATTTGCTCTGCACTGTCGCCTGACAGTGTGGAATAGGCCAGTTTAGACTCATTCTCCTCCGAGTGAGACAGTGGCGTGTTGACACCTGGCTGTGTGGCCAGTGTTTTTACGACGGGCCCCGCTGTGTTCTTCCAAGCGTCTGATTGAAGCTCACTAGGTGGTGGTAACACCTCGGGGCTTGTGTCCTTCTCCGCTTGCCACGCGGCATCCAGGACATTGTTGGATAAAACAGTGCCTTTGTTCAGGACACAGTGTACCTCTGAGGTGGGGTGTGAACCAGGTCCATTAACAAGTGCTCCTGAAGGCAATGAATTGCCTGCATGGGGAACAGCAGGGACACTGCTGTATACAAATGGATTCGGCTGGGTTCCATTTAAAGGGTTTTCGTGTTCATCTGAGGACAGACCTGCAGCATTGTTCTTCAGGGAGAATGTGTGACTCTGTAATGGCTCCTGAGTACGACCTGGGCTGTCAGACACAGATTCCACGTCTTTGTCCTCTTGTGCATTTGGCTTCGGATCAGACATAGTAGCAATACTTTCTGAAATATAAAAGAAAATCACAAAATGATTAAGCGTACTTAATCATTTCATGTAAGCAAAGTAAAGCAAACAATGTCTTACAAACATAATATTTCCTTTATTCAAGTGCAGTGTTCAACCACCCGAAGAAAATTTGCAGAAAGAAATAATGCAGATGTAAATTACAAAATGAAACACTGTTGCACAACAGGTATGATAAAATCATGCTGATAATGTGGTACTGTTAAAAAAAATGTTTTTTGGGCTATTCTCCTTAAAATGAGAATGGTATTATTCTGTGCTGCATTATGGTTTTCCAACACCCTCTTTCGCCACCTCTATTCACAACAAACCCTGCTGTTAGCCCTGAATACCCAGGCGAGGATGCTTAATTATGTGAGCGTACCTCTGGGATACAACCTTCCTGCTTCTCCACATAAAGTTCTCAGTCGTCTGCTAAAATTGACCAATTTCCATGGGAACAAAGTACACCTCCAATGAGATCATATTGCGTCTTATCACTCTGTGATGGTGCCAACACAGATCCCAGCATGAGACTGTTGTTACTTGAATCCCGACAAATTGGCAGGCACACAATCTGTCTAAAACACAAACACAGACCCACACAAAGAAAACATATGCCTTTGCGCATACACATACAATACATTCTTTATTTCATATTTATTTAGATAAACCTATATAACTGAATGCTTTGAGTTAGTAATAACATTATAACCAGCATGCAATTAAACATGTGTATGCTTCATCTTATAAGAGATTACACTATGCTGTCCAGAGCTGATTTAGTTTAAAATGTATGCTCAGTGGATTTGACATCCAGGGCTGGTCGCTCTCTACAGGAAGCTGCGTTGCTAACGAAGTGGTAAATTCAGTGTTAATGAGTCGCTTCACTGTTACCACCTCAGAGGTAAAACCTTCCGAGCTCCATATTCTCCCCATCTGTTGTGGTGTTAGAGGTTCGAAAGGGGAACAGACGCTCTGCATTTAAAGTGAACTTCACTGTTACCCCCAAACGGCAGGGTGGCAAAACCATCAAAATATCTTGGTTCAAAATGTGTAAGTCTCATTAGCAGCCAACTCACACAACTCGCTTCTATATATAACGAACAGGGGTTCAACAGAAATGTATTTTTTAAAAATTCATTTGCTTCTATTTACTTCATTTAGTCAATGTTAAAAGGCTGACTTTGCCTTGCCTGAAGATATTTACAGGGATTATGAGCTTTAATACAGTTAAGCTGTATGCACAGATCAATCTGCTATGAGCTTTTACTCACCCCGTATGGTAGTTTCCCCAAGACACTTTTCAGTTTGGTAAATGAGATTTAGGAGAAGCGTCATCATTGTTTACTGTTAGTACAATAGAAAACAAACTAGAACACCTCACAGTTATGTATTGAGCAGCTTTTGACTTTTTTTACTTCCTTTTCTGTTTGCAAGTTGTATTTCTCAAAATCCTCAACGGTCAGGTAAAATACAGTTACCATTTTATTAGGTACACCTGTACAATCTGATGTAATCCAATACAACAGCCCTGCATCAGAGTGGCTGAGGTTGTGGTTATTGGTGGTCTTTTACTGAATTATATTATTATATTATTTTATATGTATATTATACATACTTTATTCAGAGGTTTTTCTTATATTCTGCTCCCATCATGTACAATATGTAAAAAGGACAAAACATTATTTTTTTTTTTTTTTAAAAAACATCTAGCCAACTGTTTAATAACAATTAAACATTTTGAGTAATTTTTAATTTGATTTCACTTTTTTTCTGATTTCTTTAGTCCTCTATGACAGTAAACTAAATATCTTTGAGTTGTCAAGACATTTGAGGACGTCACCTTGGGCTTTGGGAAACTGATGGGCGTTTTTCACCATTTTCTGACATTTTATGGACAAAACAACTAATCAATTATTGGGAAACTGATCAACGGATTAGTCAATAATGAAAACAGAACCAACACCTGCGTCACTAGAAACTGACATAATAGGCTTTACTAAGATAAGATTTATTGTAAGGTTGTTGTATTGGATTGCATTGGATTGTATTGGATTGTATTGGATTGTATAGGTGTATGTAATAAAACTACATAAAAAAAAAAAAAAAAAAATGAAATCACCTCAAGTTATGCGGTTAAAATGATCTCATGCAGCATGCTCTGATAGTTGGTGGGCTGGGAAGCCTGCCATGTACTCACATCAGTATGGCTTTGAGTCTAGCTCACAACCTCAGTGCATGTCAAACCCTATTCTCTTTCATCTTCCCATCATTCTCCACTGTGCACAATCTAATTTCATGAAAATGCCTTAACATTCAACATGCAAAAAAAAGAAAGAAAAATCCTTATTTACTTGTTTTATTACTCATTACTCATTACTCTAAGCAGTAATTTTATGTGTGTTCTTAAAAGCAAAAGTCAAAAATCTGCTTCCACTCTCAATGACACTGAGTGCAAAGGTCAAGCATTATTGTACAAGCTGTCAATGTAATTTTGTCACTATTTTCTAATCTACATTTAAACATCCTCCTTTAAGGTTGAAATCTGAAGTAGTGTGAAGACGACATCCTGGTCTTTCTTGCCAGGTTCTAACACTGACACACAGGAACGTAGGCTTCATTCAACAATTCATAAAGACATTTCATGAGAACAAGAGGCATAAATGTATATAAAATATATATAAATAAAAGTGTGGAAAACAATTTTACAATTGTTCAGACATACAGTACAATCAATATAACCCTCTAATAAAAGTTAGTCATTATCGTGGGATTGCAACTAACAATTATTATCATTATCAAATAAATTAACTATCTATTTCTCAATTAAAAGATTAATTGTTTGATCCATAAAATGTGGAAAATGGTGCTCACTGTTTTCCAAAGCCCAACGGGAAGTCCTCAACTGTCTAATTATAATCGATTAAGATACTGTGCAGGGCTCTGACTGAGGCAGGAAGAAATGCTGGACTACGGAAGATGTTAATAAAGATAGCTTGAGTTAGTAACAATAACCTGAGATGAGGACAGTAACAAACAGGATGCGGAAGCTGAGACCTCAGAGGAAGAAGCATCAGTTGAGGATGAGCAGGAAGAAAATAACGATACTGTCAGTAGTCAGCTTGGGGTCACAGATAACATGTAATCACTTGTTTTAAAAAAGTAAATGAATGAATGAATGAATGAAACATCAAAGCTAAAATTGTCAGTGATTTCGCCAACCCATTGATGGTGAGATGATGGGCATGAAAACTGTAGGAATGTACACTGTATATGCAGCTTTTGCACCTGCTGCTGTGTAGGTCCTAGATTACTTAAATGACTCTACACAGACAGAATTTACTTTAATCATATACATTCTGTTGTTTTTCTTGATATTTTTGTGTTGTTTGTGGATGTAAAACAGCAGAGTACAGTTAACACAGAAATAGCGGTCAAGAGCTGATACAATTAGTCAATTAACTGATTGGTCAGTTGACAAAAAATTTAATCGGCATTCGTTTAAGTCAGTTATCAGGAAATAATGCAAAACACGTACCCGGTTCCAGCTTCTTAAATGGGAGTATTTCCTGCTTATTTCTGCTTTATATCATTATAAATGGAAACTTTTTGGGTTTTGGGTCAAGTCATCTAGAAATATTTAACGGACAGGCAACAATAAGAAAATAATCTGCATATCAGTCAATAGTGAAAATACTTGTTAGTTGCAACCCAAGAAAGAAAACATATATATAAAATTGTGACAATTATTTTAATGCAAACAACTGAAATAGCTCAACTTGAAGTGTTATGAGGACAACTTTCAGATTAAGGAGGATGAGTTTGGCGCTGTAGGCTTGTAAGGCTGTGAATGTCTAAGCAAATTCCTTTTTTCTGTTCAACTGAAGACCCAGGCTGGCAGCACAGTGGAAACAGCCCTAAAAACCAACTGGGACCAGTCAGCCAAACCATTTCAACTGCTGGAGCTGTCTGTATGGATCAACAGCCAACCTTATATTCCTCTGCCATCGCCTTTGCTGGAGAAATGTCTAAACAAGGGGAGCCGCGGTCCCTCAAGTACTGCACTACACAACTTCCTCAGCTAATGGGATCTATTGATTTATTTGACACAATGTGAATTTATGAAGCTGCCTCTTAAGTGTGAGAGTATCAAAGTGTGGCTCAAAACAAACAGAGATTCAGCTTGACACTCCAGTAATCCCAAGGTGAGTATGTTCTCTCAGCGAAGGTGCCACAGCGAAAAGAAAAAAATCCACAGTTAAGTTCTTCTTCTATTTTAGCCCTGCAGTTCTATCCACAGTATCACACACAGAAAAGCAGGAAGAAATTAACAACACAACACAATTCAAATCTCACTTTCCTCAATGTGACTAAGTTTGTTTGGCAGAAGAATGTGAAACAAAAAAACACAACAATAACAGATTCAAGGACCCTAAATTTCTTACATTTGCAAAGGAGAAAATAAAGAGGGGCTTCACACGATGTCTTTGTCTGGATTACATACTCTTTTATCCCACTGAATTCTTGTCACCCAAAGGTCATTTCCATAATAATGGTCTCCATTCTCCCTAATGGGATTTTGGCTGTGATTATGTATGCCAGCGTCTTGTGCAGACACTATCAGCCCTGTCATCCTGAATTGCACAAATGTAATTACACAAAGCCTTTGATAACTAAACAATGTAATTTACTGCCTGAGTGAAAATATATACTGGAGTAATATGACTGAAATTATATGCTACAAGAAAACATATGAGTACCATAGGTGGTATGAAAATAAAAATATTTATAGTAAGAACAAATTAAATGCTAATGCATGCTTTAACAGCAAGAATATTAGTGTCTGTTCAAGCGATTTAAGAAAAGATTCACAGAGTACAAAGTACAACTGGAAGTGGTATCTTAAAGAAATAGTTTGACGTCTTTGGCAAATACAGTACTCTCATTCGCTTTCTTGCTAAGAGTTAGATGAGAATATAGCA